AAATTACAATTTTTTAACAGCTAAAAAAATTAATAGGAATAAATATTTTTAATGTGTTTTACTTTAAAACAAAGTTAGTTCAGTAAAAAATGAAATATGTTTCGCAGAAAGTTGATTAGAATTAAAAACAATGCGATAAGAGTAAAAATAATGTTTGTCTCTTCGGTGTTATAAGACATTAAGAAATTAAAATTGACATAAACAGAAGGAAGGAAAAGATTATGTTGGAAAGTAATGGGAAGTGGAAATATTAAGAGAGGATAGAAATGTAAATGAAAGCGGAGGGGGAGAGAATGTATTATACAAGAAAGAAAGGGAAGATTTATGAGGAGAAGAGGGATTGTAATCGGTAGATAAGATTCAGGCAATGATTCTGTATCATTTTGTTTGTTTAAGGATACATTCTGGTGAAAAATTGTCAAAAAATCGATCTTCTTTTATTGCATATTTCGTTGTATATTAACATTTCAAGAATACACTATCAAAATTTCAAAAAGAAATTCGAAGAATTAAGGATTCTACAGCCCAAAGTCGAGCGGCGCTCGAAGCATAGGTAGAGGGGCGAAGGTATGGAGCGCAGATAGCGGAGCTGAATAAGGGGAATAGGCAAAAAGTTGTTGTGAGCAGCTGTTTGGAAATTCAAAAAAGCAACAAAAAGTAAATAAAAAAGCAAATTTCAAAAAAATTTATGGGAAACCTATTAGAGAAATGTCTACCTACTACAGTTTGGCAATTCATCCAGATTCTGTAGAAAACATGAGGAAAGAAATCTGGTCAGGTTTTTGCCACAAGATTTCTACTGACTCCAAGCCGCAACATTAATGCTGCGACATCAGCTGGTGTAAGTACTTGCAAGCTCAGAAAGACAACAAGCAGTACGAGCATAAGCCACCATTAGAAGATGATCAAAGTTATGATTAAACCAGTTTATGAGAGTTTAACTGAAGATACTTTATTAAAGCTCTGCTTAGGAAGAAACACTCAAAACAACAATGAGAGTTATAATCACAGCTTGTGGCAGTTAGCACCTAAGCACATGTTTGCAGGAAAAATTATGATTGAAATTGCTGCTTGGATATCATGTGTTTTTAATGAAGGTTATTTCACATTTCTTAAGATAATGCAGCTGATGGAAGTTAAAATTGGGCTATATGCCAGTCACAACGCCAAAAAATGAGATGAAAAACTCCTAAAGCAAGTGGAGCTTGTGTGTCCATTGAACGAAAGAGGCTAGGAAAAAAGAAACTGGGCAAAAGATGTTTGAGAAAGTTGAAGGCTTACTTTATGGACCAGGAATCATTGATTAACGGTAAATAGTTTAATTATCATTTTATTTTTAAAAAATTTGTAAAAAAGCTTTAAACGCTTTTATCAAAATGTTGTTTTTTTGAGTGGTTGGCACGATTTAAAAAAAATTTACCGATCGATTTTAAAAATTCTTGCGGCATTGTATTCGTAGATTGACTAGCTATTGCGTAAAGCGGAATAAACGGTTTCATTAAAAATTAAATTTTTTATTCAACTTTTTAGACAAAAAAGAAGTGTTTTTTTACATCATTTTCTAAAAACACGTGTCAACTCGCAAATTACCAATATTTGTCAATAATTTTGCTTTACGCGATAGCCACACAAATAAACTTTAAAAAGAAATTTTGTTTTTTGATTTCAGGCTATTGGTTCTCGAGATATCATATCAACTGTTTGATCATTTTATTTTTTCAACGCTGCGCCTCTCAACTAATTTCTTGGAATTTTGGAATAAAAATATTACTGTAAAAATTTTTTTTATATATTGTAACATGTGTATTAATAAATATGTCAAAATTAAGAACCATGTGTCTTATAGTTTTCTTTAAAAAAATTCCAAAAAAGGCCTTATTTTTAATGCGGTTACACCAGAATGTATACTTGCCCTGTTTTTGTCTTTTTATGTGAATCATTTCAGATATCAATCTCTTATTTTAGGAAGATTCACTGCCTAAAATCTTAACTTTATTCCATCTAAAATTGTGATAAAAATTGATACGGTGGTCGGATGTAACAGATGGAGACCAGTTTTTTTGTTGATATCTGAAATATATTTACGTATTCTCGTATCCAATTTTCTTTTTGTTTGGCCAACATAGTTGGTCTCACAATCATCACATGAAATCTTATGTACCACATTTTGATTAGAAAGCAATTCTAATTTATATTTTTCTCTCTTTATAAAACTTTTTAAAGTATTGGTAATGGAAAATGCTAATTTACAATGAAACATGTTGGATATAGATGAAAAAGGAGAGATAGACTTAACACAAGATACTATGAAAAATTTTTCTTTGATTTGTAATTTATATGTGGTATATTTATTTTGAATGTGAAATTTTAAACGTTTATCTATTGTAGAAAAAATAAGAGAGAGGAGATAATCATTATTTTAAAAAATGTGAATTGCATCTGTTAGATTCTTATGTTGAAACCGAGTATGTGATAATTGGTCTATTTTGTCTACATAACTAATGATTGTGTCTTTTTCGTGACAAACAGAATGGAAATACGTGATAATTAGAATGGAAATAAAGAAACCTTCCAGAAAATGTTGTTTTATGATATTGAACGTAATTCTCTGACTATCAATAATCAAAATTGTGTCAAGAAAATTCAATCTATTGTCAATACTACAACCTCCATAGTAAATTAGAACTATGTATGTAAAGAATTAAAAGTATTAAGTGTGTCATCAATAGTATCAAATGGAAGTGCGAGAATGATGTCATCGACATATTTGTAATAAAAGAATGGTGGTATTTATAATGTTGTGATAGCCAATTCTTTCAAATCCTGCATTACAATATCAGCAATAACAGGAGATAACGGTGAATCAAAGTATTGGAGTACCAAAAACTTGTTTACAAAATTTGTTGTTAAAGCGAAAAAAAAAATAGAATTTAAGACAAAATTAACAGCAATAATGAATTCATCCTTTGGAATGTTTATCTTTGTGGAAATGTGGTCCCATCTTTTCTCAACGCTGTTTAATGCCAAATCAGCAGGCACGTTAGTAAAGTGAGATACAACATCCAAAGAAGCCAAAACATAATTAGATTCAAAAGCCATGCCATTTAATTTTTCGACTAAATGGAAGCTGTCTTTTATGTGGCATGCTAGGAACTTGTGGTATACTCTTAATGATAATGTTGTGTAAGTAAAGAGAAAAATAATACAGTGGACTATTTATAGATGATACAATTACACTCAATGGGTTACCAGCTTTATGAATTTTAGTCAATCCATACACTAATAAAAATCGATGCAAATGTACAAAGAAAATGTACTTATTTTTTGGTAAATTTATTGATTTTTTGTAATTTTTTACTTAAAATTTGTATTATTTTTTTTACTTCAATGGAAAATACTAAAATATTATGAAAAATTAATTGAATACAAGATGCGTCAGGTATCTGAGGACATTCACATAGCCAAGTTTTCGCAGCAAGTTTTTTTCTTTTTTTTCTTTTCAAATCATAAATGAAGGACAATAAGTTGACTAATAAAATGAAAAGACACGCTGTTATCGTCGCTATACACGCGAATCACAGCGATCTTGAAATCTCCGAATTTTTTAAATTCGCCCGATTGTTTGTTCACAAAGTTCGTCGAGAGTTAGAAGCATCTGATGGTAATGTAGAAAGTATTGCCAAGCGCAAAAAACATAAGTCACGTTCAGCAGAGTTAGAACATCACACTTTGTGCAGCAAGTCCAGGGCGTTATTGATGAAGATCCTTCAAAGTCCACAAGAGCCATATCGAGAAACCTTCAAGTTTCTGAGTGCACAATTCGTCGCATTGTCCACGAAGACATCCGGTACAAGTCCTACGTGATGCGCAAAAGTCAGTTTATGTCGGCACAAACTCAGGAACAGCGATTCATCCGGGCACAACGACTTTTAACCAAGTTAAAACATCTTGAAATCCCGGATATACTCTGGTTTTATTCTGACAAAAAAATTTTGACCAGGATAAAAAAATAAACCAACAAATGATAGGTGGCTATGTGCGGATCCTTCAGATGTTCCTCATGTTATACATACAAAGTTTCCGGCATCTGTTATGGTTTTGGGAGTGATGAGCAATGAAGGGCACGTCATGCCACCCCACTTCTTTCCTCAAAGACTTCGAGTGAATGCTGTTGCCTACATTGAAGTTTTGGAAGCAGTTGTGAAACCCTGGATAGATAGCGTGCGTGGTGAGAGGCCATACGTATTCCAACAGGACTCTGCTCCTTCACACAAAGCCATGACGATGCAAGATTGGATGTCCGAGAAACTGCATGATCACATAACCCCAAACATGTGGCCACCTAGCTCTCCGGATCTTAATCCTTTGGATTACTACGTATGGGGCGTTGT